TCATAATAAAAATACTTCAGCAGAAGTCTAATCCAACTTACGAACTAAAGCTGTTTGTAGTACAATTCAAATAAAATGTCTGTCATTTAACCAAGGAAAGTAACAATTAAAAAACCCACATGAATAAAAGATCCTGGATCCTTTTTTCCCACACTTGGGCTGTGGCCGGCGGCGGTCCTGAAGTTGTACTGTAAGTGTCAAGTCTGCCACCCTTGGCTGCAGTCGTAGTATCCTATTTTGATGTTTCTGCTTGGGTGGGTGGGTGATCATAAATAACAGAAATACTTGGTATTGGTAGGAGATAACTGTAAAGAAAAAGTCAAACAAGAGGAAATTATTGTAAGTAAATTTGTAATTGAGTTTTTATAATAAAATAGTATTGCAAAATGCCAAGTCATTTACCATAAATCGTTCATGACTTCAAAAAGGAGTGCTAGTGTTTTGCAGTGGCCTGCCATATTATAGTGTAATTATTGAACACAATGTCTCTCATTCTTGCCACACAACACGATTCTTCTGAAGAGGGTCTATAGTCTGAGTGGACCTACTTCTCTTTTTGACATTGGCATTCAGCTCAGGTTCTTGCTCTTTATTTTTAAGCCGTCGAAGTATTGAGCCTCTAATTGGAGCACAGGCAGAGCAGTATCTTTTCACTTTGATTTTCGTTGACAACAATATTTCGCAATTCACTGATCTATATGTCACTGTATACCTGGTTTCTTTGAAAGAATTACAGTCAAATACCAAGCCAGCGTTCTTTGCAGCAAGACGGGCACATTCTGGCTCTGGAATTCCCATGCATACTATATTACAGCGAATGACATTGACAACCTCAAGTACATACTGCACAAAGTCATTAACTGATTCCCGATCGGTAAGACACACCCTGCATGGTAATTCTTGCCAAATTGGATGATCCAAGGCAATATAATGGTTATGCACTACCAATTGCACTGTTCCATCCACATTTATGGAAACACTTCTTTGGACTACACCCCAAAATTCCTCAGATGCGGTCTTCCTTAAAATAAAGGAGTTATTTGTTCCAGGTAATGAAACCTCCCATGTTTTAAACATTTGAAGGCGCAATCTGTCCAGCACAGCCCAAAATGGACTGTCTTGATTGAAGAGTGGTATTTCTGGAGTATTGGTGACCTACGGGAAAGAGAGATGTATTGATTATAAAATAAACAGGTCAGATCTATCAGAAACAATTTTAGATAGACAAACCATTTCTTCAGGAGTGGGGGAAGGCGTTTCTGAGTGTACTGTATCCACGAGACACATATCTGATACAGTGAACACTTCATCAGTATTGTTTTCTGGGGTCAGCTTCAACTTTAACTTCACAAGGGGATTTGGAAAGTTCCCTGATGAGGATGTTCCGCTAGGTATGGAAGGTATGGATGGTTCCAGCCTTATCTGTTAACAAGAAAATGAGGCATATATTTAAAAAAGCGGTTGTATGGTTTTAGGCCAACAGCCATAGAACACGATAGAGAGAGCCTTCTTACCTCTCTTAATGCACCACAAGAAAAGGATGTGATGTTATTGTCATTTGCACTAGCTTCAGGAGTATCTAGTAGAACCAGAGGAACGGCTAGGGACTTTTTTATGGGTGCTTCCTACCAATGAAGAATAAATAGCTTTAAAATAACAGTTCAAAAGCCTTTAAAGAACCAAATAACACTGCAATGGACATGAATGGAATCAATTACTCACCTCAGCAGACACCTCATCATTGAAAAAAATGTTATTTCTACTCCTCAAGACACCAGTAGTTGGAGAAATTAAGCAATCATTTTCTCCATTAAAGGTGCTTGACGGAACTGGGCTAGTAGGTGGTGATGCTGAGGGAAGACTTACATAAATTTCTTCCGGCATCTGTTCCTGTTCAGGACATTCAGTATCCCCATCCCCATGGTGGTTCCCAAGTGAAGTCTGGATAATTTCCTCATTATTAGTAGAGGTTGTAGAGGCTAAAGAACATGAAATTTCATTCTGTTTTGCGCTGCGTCGTGCCTGTGAATTACAAAACCATTACCAAAATCAACACAAGAGTAGATCACAAATTGCAACTCAGGAAACATTCCCCAACTCACAGGAAGAAAAGCTTTTTTTGCTTTTCCTGAGGCATAACGGGTTCTGTTTTTTTATGGGATAATCGTTTTCGTCTAGGTATTGGGGGCATTATGTGAACGTAAACAAAAGTGAACGTGTGTCAACAAACAGAATCCTAACCCTACCCCGGACCCTGCGCCCGGCCCTCCCAGGGCCTGGGGTCTGGGACAGTTTTAATCAAATGCAAAATAAGAAAAACTAGAGAGCTTCACTCGGACTCATGGCATCAATCTAGGATCAAGTTACAAGAGTTCAAATATACTTTTAACAGGACGGGGACTAAAGTTGCCCGCGCCTGTGCGCGTCGTCTGCTATCTAGAGTGCATTTCACCAACGATACTTCAACTTCTACAACTACAAATAGGTCGTTTGTTGGGTTTTTTTGTTGTCAATAAAAGTTTCCATGAAAAATTCTAGAAAAAAAATAAGCTGCAGAACCTCTCACAAGTTCTATTTCTTACAAGATAATCATCAATTTTGTTAGTCTACAAAGCCAGGGAAGCCAAGTCAGAAAAAATTCTCTAACTTACAGCGAGTTCATTTTCTTTCTCTCTCTTTTTTCTTCCATAGGTCGGCCTGTTCTTCCTCGTGGTTAAGCGTTTTCTTATAGATTTTTTGGGCATAATGTGCACGTAAACGCTTGACAAGAAACAAAACCATAACCCCTAAGGGCCTGTCTGCTCTCGGCCTCACCGCACTCCCCTCCAAATTTCCCCCCCACCGAACTTCGG